AGAAAGAAAGAAAGAAAGAAAGAAAGAAAGAAGGAAAGAAAGAAAGAAAGAAAGAAAGAAAGAAAGAAAGAAAGAAAGAAAGAAAAAGAAAGAAAGAAAGAAAGAAAGAAAGAAAGAAAGAAAGAAAGAAAGAAAGAAAGAAAGAAAAAGAAAGAAAGAAAGAAAGAAAGGCTGGCTTTTGGGAATAGTGCTATGCTGCACACAGGCGTCTAGATATCACTGCAACACCCTGATTTCATTCCTGTGGGTTCTTATCCATCAATATAAGGACTGGACCACATGGCGGTTGTATTGTTAATTCTCTGAGTATCTTCTGTACTGGTTTCCATAATAGCTGTTCTAAATTTCATTCCTATTGGACCAAATCTTCCTTTCAAGGTTAAAATTAAGAAATTAAGGCTTTATATTTACCTTCACAACCACTAATCGGCCTTCACTCCTCATTAATGGATAATAAAGCACTGGATACCGCTCGTGTATCTGTTGATCACACACTCACAACCAAAGCCAGTGTGGAAGGGGTCGAAGAGCATCACGCATACTCTTGTGAAAGGAAATGAGAGTCAGTGAAGCCAAAAATAGCCGGAGATCAAACGAGAAGGATGGGGATTTAAACCTGAGGGGTCTTGGCTCTTGAGCGTCAGGCCCTGGAGCTGATGAAGGTGTTTTGAACAGCGCAGTGTGATGCTGACAGTGTCAGGGCATCGTGAGAGCCACCAGGCTCAAGTGGAGCTGGGTGTGAGGCGTGGACCCCATTCCCGGAGAGGCAGAGCCAGGGCCTTGAGAGAATCTCCGCACAGGCACAAGCAACAACTGCACCTTCTCTTTGTCCCACACTTGTGCCCTCTCCACACCGGGCGAGGCGGCAGGCTGCTCACGGGGAGCGACATTGGCCCCATCCGCGCTGTACCTTCAGTTGCACTGCCTTTCTGCAATGTTGAGCAACCTAACCTACACGCTTATGATTGGGGCAAGAGAAAGAAACCTACTTTGTTGCATCCAGTAGATGCAGCTTTGCAGAAAGAAATACTTGTGGATTCAGGCTGGCAGTGAGAGCAATCAGTCGTTTTGTGTTTTTGAAAAGGGGATTGGCTTTAGGAAATATGGCAATGGCAAAATTTACAGCAGCAGAAGATTTATCTTACAAATAAAGAAATTTTCATTATACGAGGGAGGTGCAGTTGCTGTTTTGTGTTTAACTTCCTTTGCTTAGCAGCATCTGGAATCCACAGAAGCTGCACACGCACACACCTGCCCCGTGCTACATGAGGAGGAGCACACAACTGGGCAGAAGTGCCATCCCTTAACAGCTAGTTTTGCATGGGGGTGAAACATCGTGCAGGCTTCCACTGGTGGAGAGCTATCGGCAAATGGTGGCCATGAGGAGATAAAGCAGGAAAACAGAGCAGCGGCCGCCCCTCTTCGGAGGTTTGGGAGCCACCTGCAGGAGCCCTCAGGCTGGAGATGGGGCCCCCAGGCTTGCCTGTGCCATGCCCCCCTGTTCCCCTGGGAGGTGGCTGTCCCTGCAGCAGGGACCTGGTGAGCAGCTGGCACTGGGCATTTGGTGTGAAGGTCAGCGGGAGACGAGACAACAGTCATTGGATTAGCGGTGTCAGCCATATGGTCCCCAAGCCACCAGGAAGTCCTGCTGGAAGGACAGGAGTCCTGCTTCGGACCCAGCCAGCGGTGTCATGAGCTCCTCCCATGTGCCACCTGTGTGCCCCGCAGGCCCCTCGGACTTCAGTTCCAAAGAGGCTTCCGCTGCCGCCCCTCCTGGATCCTCAAAAGTTGAAAGCAGGGAGGAGATTTAAAGGGGGCCACGGCATCACTGGAGAGCATGGGCTTCACCGGCGACAGGCAGGAGGGCGTGACTGTGAGCAGAGGAGACGCTCTGAGACCTTTCTGTCGGTGGGGTCACCTCCTGCAGGGTGGGTATGGGACAGGGTGTTTGGGACCAGTGATGCCTCCCCTGAGTTTCGAGTATGAGGCCGCCGTGCGGGCGGGAGGGTCTTTGCTCTGTGTTTAGTGGGCGGAGGATGCAGAGGTCTTTTGGAACTAGCCTGCTCACCTGTCTTTCCTTAAGTTCCCCAGTTGAAGTATCGATTAGACAGCAGCTTTCTCCCCAGTCTTACTCCTTTTATAAAAACCATGAAAATCTCACCTCTAAGCTCAGGTTGCTGAAGACTGCAAAAGTAAAAGGTCCTCTGACCTAGTTAAGGAACCCTTGGATTCCCCAGGGACACACATGAGTGTGCACACGTGCACACATGGACACACGTGTGTGCCTAGCCGAGCGGCACCAGCTGCCCTCCATCTGGGCCCCGCGCGGAAGCCTCTCGGGTGAGCAGAGAGCTGCCTGGGCCTGTCCTGCGTTCCACTGAGCTGACGTGGCCGCTGCTGCTGCCACTGGAAAGGATGATTCATTGGTTCAGAACTTTTCTATCTTTAAACTGGCCCACTGTCTAGCATGCGAAAAGTCTGTGTTTTCATTTATTTCTCAGCGTGGGCCTGTTCAGACGGCAATCTCTGGGTCACCCCAGTTCCCTCAGCGGAGGCTGTTCTAGCTGATGGAACCTCCGGTTAAGACGAAGTGCTCTTTAAAGTCCATGGTCTTGCCCAGTGCAGTGGCGCGCACCTGCACCCAGCACTCGGGAGGCTGAGGTGGGAGAACCACAGTGAGCTCAAGTCCAGCCTGGGCTACAAGCGAGACCTTGTCTCAAAAAAAGATCCCCAAGTCTTACGACAGTAGTTTTTCAAATACCGTGAGCCCCATCTCCCTGAGATTTGTACCAGCACTGGCACCGGACAAGCAGAGGGAGAAGTGTGAGCGCGGCTTGTCTGGGCTGGCGTGGCCGCCTTGCTCCCCAGTCATCTCTTGCTGCGTCAGTGTTGTCCAGCAGTGAGCCGAGGGTCCTGTTTCTGCCCATGAATTGGGGTCGCGAAGGTCTCAGCTCCTTCGGGGGTGTCAGCAAGACTGCAGGAGACAGTGTGGGGTGAAGACCAGCCCTTGGGGAAGCCAGGGCAGGAGAGTCGCTAGTTCAGGCCCCAGCAGGGCACGGAGTGAGCCCCATCTCAAAGCACATCAACGAGGGCTGAGATGCGGCTCAGTGGGTTCGTTCCTCAGTGCTGAAAAAAACCCTGAAAATCTAGAAACAAAAGTCAACACCCCTGGTGTTATGCAAGCAGACGCTTTCCCTGTGGACTCACCAGTCTGAAAGGTAACTGGGGGCAGACTGCTGAGCCCTTGCATCCAACTGCACTTCAGATGCTGCAGTCCTGCATCCCTCAGTGACTGGAGGTCCGGATAGAGGAGCTGCCGGGCAATTTCACCCTTGCATGAGCATCTTACTGTGTGCTTCTCCAGAGTACAGGCTGGCACAGTGTGCGTCTGCCCACTCTCTGCGTGCATGTGTATGCGTGCACGTGTACACGTGTGTGGAGAGAAAGAGAAGAGCCCATTGCTCCTAAGGCCATGAGGAACGAAAGCTGAGGCTAAATCAAATGCAAAGGAAGATGATGCTGTTATGAGACAGGAGCTGGGAGTGGTGGTGCACACCTGTAATCCAAGCTACTCGGGAGGCTGAGGGAGGAGGAAGTTTGAGGCCACCTGTGCAGCATCGTGAGACCCTCTCTCAAAATAAAATTTGAAAATGGCTGGGGATTTGACTCAGTGGTCAAGCACCTCTGGGTTCAGTCTCTGGGACTGAGAGAGAGAGAGAGAGAGAGAGAGAGAGAATGAGAGGTATGATGCTATCATTGGCATGACACCATGTGTTATTTTATATGGAATCCAATTTTAATAAGCTAATAGTATCAGAAAGTGTAACGTACAGTAGTAGATACATAAGCAGTAGACTAACAATACCAAGTATAGTGCAGTAGATGCATAAATCAGCAGCCTAGTCATTTAGGACCTGCTGTGTGTCCCGCACGCCGTGGTGTGTGCTCCAGCCGCACTCGGGTCTACTCAGATGGGCTCTTGCTGTGCTGCCCAGGTTGGTCTCAGAATCCTGGGCTCACGAGATCCTCCTGCCTCAGGCTCCTGAGTGCTGGGACTGGAGACACGCACCACTGTGCCCACCTGGTACTCAGATTTACAAGCACCCTGCCCCAGATCACCTAATTCTGAAGGCCAAAACCGAGATTCGAGCCAGTTCTCAAGTCCAGCCCACTTTTGTCTGAGACTCTGTTTGTCTTTTGGGTTTGTCCCATGGCCCTCATGCAGCAGCTCATGCTAATTCTTCTCTAATTGAGCAGGAAGGAAATAATGAAAACTTCCTCATCCTGGGCTGGGGATTTAGCTCAGTGGTTTTGCCGCCTGCTGTGCAAGCGCAAGGACCCGAGTTTGATCCCTGGTACAAAAAAATAAGATTCTCCTCCCCTGTGTCCCCTAAAAGGGAAGGAACTTTCCGATGGATCACCTGGAACATTTATCACATCATAATTCAGTTGAGGATATGCTTCATGTGTTTGAGAATCTGTAATTGGGCCTATTATCACCAGATGTCACATTTATAATAAATATGTAGTTTTAGGATTCTGCAGAGAAAAAAATCATAAAGCATAAAACAAATACTGCATTCATTAGTTCAGCCAGTGTTTGTCAGATGTCTCCGTGTGCTTGGCCTGGTGCTAGGGACGTGGTTCAGAACCCAACAGCAAGAGCACGGTCTCCAGCCCGTCCCGTGCGTGGACAGCTGTCCTGCTGAGAAGCTTGGGGCAGAGCTGCTGACCACTCATCAGGAGGCAGTGTTACGACAGCGCCTGTCAGCTGTCAGATGCGCAGAGCTCCAGTCTCAGCACGCCAAGGAATGAAGTCATGAACCAAAGGAGGACATTAGGAGAGCTTTATTGGAAAAAGGAGGGGAGAACAGCTCCTGGGTGTCCAGGACGGGTCCCGAGTGGGCGGCCACCGAGGCCCTTCGGGTGATTCCCCCAGTGAAGTCACACTGAGGTACAGCACTGGGCGGCCTCCAGTCCCCTAAGGGAATGAGTACAGCCTCTTGGCTAGTATTGACCTGGTGGGGAACGAGTCGTGCAGTAGGATGCGTGGAAAGACCAGGGCCTTCTCGGGAAGGGAGGGTCCCGATGCTCTGTCCAGCGCTCTGCTGCACGTGAATCTGTTGGGCTCAGCCGAGCCTGCCCAGGCTCCGACCACCCAGCACGTCGGCTCCTTCCGTAGCTGGTCCCCTCGTTCTTGGGGACAGCAGCTTGGGCGCCTTGCTTTCTGGCTCTGCTGGAAGTACGGCGGCTTGTGTGGCTTCCTTAAGATAAAGGAATAATTTTCCACACCCTTTCTGTTTCGCTTACTGGCCAGGAGCACAAAGCCCATTCCCAGGTCCCAGCTCCTGATGAAACTGTCGGGTCCGACCTTGGATCCTGGGGCAGAGCGGCACTCACTCAGTGCCGGCTGAGTGCGCGGGAGAATGACATCTCTGCCTTCTCTCCCAATGTCCTGCAGGAGCCGCACGGCACAGAGCCTGTCAGCGGTGAGGACGCTGGTGGTCTGGGAGCTGACAGTGAGCCACTGCCCGAGCCCCTGCCCGAGAGCCAGGGCTGCAGACAGGTGAGCCGTACACCCCGCCCTGGGCCCTTGGGGTGCGACGTCTGCATCGCGGACCCCAGCGTGTGGCCGTCCCTGCTGGGCCTCCTGCTCTCTGGTGGTCAGAGTGAGCAAGCCCTGCGTGCCTTGCCTGTCTGTCAAGCAGGCGACCTCTGCCCATGGGTGAGAACCCTGGGGAGAGGCTGACTGATCCACAGAGGAGGCCGGTGGCGTGGCTCTGCCCCGGTGACCTTCCTGTCCTGTGCCGACTGCCTGCAGGGCCGACTGCAGGCCTAGAGTGAGGCTGGGCCTCTCTGCTCCGTGTCTCAGGGTTCCTGGTCTCAAAGAGCGGGTCTCCAGCAGCGTCCCTGGCTTGGGCCGATGGGAGTCTCAGGGCCCCTCTGAGGGTGTGGGAAGTCACCCCTGATTTTCTGTCGCCGTCTCAGAAGCCAGTGTTGGGCCTGGCCTCGACTCCAGGGATAGAGAGGGAGCTGAGTCCCAGGCAAAATGGAAGAGGATTCCAGGCAGGAGAGGCTCGTCCCAGCCACAGTGGAACCAGCCCCATGGCGGGCGTTGCGCCTGGGACCGCTGTCTGGAGCGAGATGTCCACGACCCCTTTCTGAAGGGAGGAATCGGAACCCTGCGGAGTCACATGGGAAGCAGCTGCAGGGGCTTCCACCTGCTCTGCTGGGCTCTGGACTGCAGGTGCCCTGGCACAGCCTGGAAAGCAGCACAGCCGAGTGAGGCCCCTCTGCTGCGCAGGGGAAGTGAGATGGGACCACCCTCGCTTCCTGAGCCAGCCTTGGAGGTCCCAGCTGTGCCCCTCCTGCTACCCTAAAATTCCTTTGGCCCCATTTCCAGTGGGATCTGTGCATGGCCTGGCAGAAAGAGGAAGGACAATCTGAGTTCTGACAACATTTACAGCGTAAGTGTAAGCGGGCCCACATGCAGCGTTGGTGAGGAGTGAGGTCTTGGCCAAGCCGTATGATCTCATAAGCTTCAGTGTCCCCATTTGACAAGGGGAGTAAGCAGGGCACTCTGAGGAAGCCAACAGCTGTGAAGTAGAAACCACACAGAAGAGCGGGAGGCCAGAGGTGCGCTCATTCAGTCGGCAGATGCTCGCGAATAGTGCTGTGAGAGGGCAGGAGAGCCAGCTGTGAACCGAGTGCCTGGGCTCCGGGGTAATAAATAAACCGGCAGAGCGTCAGCTTGGACCACGTGAAGGTGCCATTTTTGTAGGAACAAAACGTGCATGGTTCGGAGCCGGAGATTCAACTCAGTGGTTTCGCCGCCTGCTGCACAGACACAAGGACCCAAGTTCGATCCCCGGTACAAAAAAACTTACATGGTTCACCTAACAGATGCATTCCCCTCGAATGAACCCTTACTGACCGTCACGGACACTCACTGGGCAGTTTGTGCCCTGGGACCCGGCCTGGGGAGGTTGTGGATGTGCCTCCCTGGCTGGAGCAGGCAGGCAGCAGGGAGGAACAGGCGCCAACTTGGGTTTGCACTCTTGTCCTGGGGGCCAGTGCTGTTTCAGGCTGTGCCCAGCCCTCCAGGCGGCACCAAGCCCCAGGCCTTGCTGTTTGGCGCTCGGCTTCTCCTCACTCAGGGCAGTAGTGTTTGTGTCTGGAAAGTCACACCAAGCAGCAGTGCCTTGGGAGGGGACGGGACTCTCTGGGACAGAGGAGGAGGGAAGTGTGGTGGTGTCAGGCTGCAGGCTCCTTAGGCAGGGCCCTCAGGAGCCTTGGGGCCTGGGAACGGCTGCAGCGTTGGCCTGCAGTGGCCAGGGTCCCGGCAGGACCCCATTGTGGGCTGGGGGGGTTCGGGTGCAGCCACTCAGCAGGCTCAGGGCCAAAGGCAGTCCTCTGGGTTCTGCAGTGGTCAGTAAGGGTGGGGCTTCTGCAAGGCCAAGGGCAGCGGCCCTGAACAGTGTAAGCACAGGACTGCAGGGACCATATCCGAGAAATGTCGACAAATTTGTTTCTTACCAATTAAAGATTAATGTGCCTGTCTTTTATGCTCAGTGCTCAGACACTGGGTGTCTCCTGCCAAGGGGATGGTTTCAAGGTGTGGCTGCGACCTGAGGAGAGGAAGTGCACGCTGAGGGCTACTGACCCTTCTCTGAGACCCGGCTTAATCTCCAAACCAGAGCCAGCCCTGGGCCTGCGCCCACTCCACAGCTGTGGCCCTGCTCACGGTGCTGGTGTCGGTCCACACTGCGTGGCCCCCCAGAACAGCACCAGGAGTTGGTGAGGCCCTCCAGGCACGCTCATCTGCTGGAGGACTGAGGGGAATAATGTCCCCGAAGACCGGATGCTGGTTTGTGAAACCTAGGCTCCATGCTCGAGAGACAGGACGCAGGCTTGTCTGGAGTCTATTTCTGGATCTAGGTGAGAGCCTTTGAAGACTATTTTTAATGCCTTTTGCAAGAACTTTTTAAAAAAATATCATTCACACAGAGCTTTGCAATTGTTTCAGCAGAATTGCATGTTATCTCATTAGCTTGATGTTTTTAATAATACCAAATTTTTCCTAGAATGGTATTTGGTTGGTTCGTGATCTTATTCAATCTTATCCCCAAAAGAACCCTATGGATCTTCCTAGGAAACAAGGGGACTGGAAGCTGGCAGGGAAAATGCATCCAATAATGGTATTCTTTCCATTCTGTAACACACTGAAAACATCTTACTCTTTGTGCCAGAAAACCAAAGATCAGAGCGGACGCGATTCTTGCTTCTCCATCAGTGGCACACCGGGTGGGACAGGAGCCTGGGCTGGACCTGTCTACAGCGCTCACCTGCCTCTTACTAACACTGTGGCTCACATCGCTGGGCATTGGTGCAGCTAGACGCCAGAGTTGCAGTCGTGTAGCACAGTCCCTTTGCAGTAGGAATTTTTAACAATTTAGGTGACCTAGCCATGAGGGAAAAATCAGTGGTGTTAAATAAAACTTATGGAGAGCAAAAAACAACATAAAACAAAAACTAACCCTATAAAATTAAGGTAGAAATTGTTCATCCAAGATTTATAGATGAAATCTTAAGCTGCTCGATGAAAAATCACAAAGCTAAAAAACACTAAAAAAGGAAAATTCCTCAGGCTGGGGATTTACCTCAGTGGTTCCAGCACCTGCCTCGAAAGTGCAAAGTCCTGAGTTCGATCCCCAGTACCAAAAAAAAAAGAAAGAAAAAGAAACATCACAAAGCTAGGGATTGGGGGAGCAGGGACTTGTTCTAAAAGCTCCTGACTCCCTGGTGCTTGGCGACAGACACTCAGGAGTCCCTAACACAATTATTCCAATCCTCTGAGCATGAGCCTAATGTTTCTATAACGTTCAGAATGGCTATGTTTGTATAACATATTCTTTTGAGGCAGTAAAACTAGATTATTAAGAGTGCAGACACTGGAGCCAGGTGCCTTGGATTCCAGTCCTGGCCCCGCCCTTTCGTGGCAGTGTGACCTTAGGGAAAATGCCTCCGTTTCTGCCTCTATAAAATGGGGGAAAGAAAGAAGGGGATATGGTAAAAGATACCGGAGTTGAGGGCTCCAGAGCACTGCTTAGAGGATGCCAGGGACGCTGGACCACTCCTCGGAACTGAGCTGCCATGCTTGATGGTGATGACTGAAATTCCCACTGAAGTAGTAAGGTTTAGCCATAAAATGATCAGCTGTTCTGAGCGAAGTGTTAAAATGCCACGTGGAAAATGGGAGTGATTTTTCAGCTAGTGTATTTGTTAGGGTTCTCCTAAAAGGCAGAGCCAAATTCATCAGGAGAACTGGCTCGCTCGCCATCGTGTCAGTCGCCTGTCCCGTCACTGGGACGAAACACCTGACACCTGCTGCTAAGGGGAGAGGTCTGATTTCACTCATGCTTTGGGGAGGGTCAGTCCATGGTCAGCTGGACCATCGTACAGGGGATGAGGTGGTGGAGAACAGCTGCCCAGTCACAGAGAAAGGGGGTCAGAGACGAGAACGCAGCCTTCCAGGGCAGCCCCTGTGTCCAGCTCTGCCACCTCCTCCACACAGCACTGACGGACCCAGTGATGAGCACAGCGCCCCGTGACGCAGTCACCTTCTAGAAGCCCCAGTCTGAGCAGGTGGGACTTTGGGGTACATTCTGCAACATGGATTTAGCCCATCTCTAAGAACCACCAAAGTCTTAACGGTTCCAGCACTGCTGAAAAGTCTAAGTCCAAGGTCTCCTGTGAGACCCAAGGCAGACTCTTAGCCATAAGCCCCTATAAAAATTAAAAAGAAAATTAAATACTTCCAACATACAATAGCACAGGGCAGACATTTCCATTCCAAAGGGAAGTAACAGGAACATAAAAATGAATCAAAGCAAAGCAAGTCCCAAACCCGGCAGAGCAACATGGAACCCTGTAGCTCCATGTCCAGCACCCAGGCCAGGCTGTGGTGAGATGTGAGCCCCAGCAGGCCTGGCCTTCACCACCACCACCCTGTGGCCTTGCTGGTCGCAGCCTCTTGTGGGCTCGCTCTGCCCACTGCCCGCAGCTTTCCTGAGCAGAGTCCAGTTCCTGGCTTCTCCTGGGGTCTCCATGGCTCCAGTGGCTTTGCTCTTTCAGCTTTTCAGCTTCACGCACTGCCCTCTCCTCAGGGACATGGACTGCCCTCCCAGGCCTTCCTCTGAAACCTGGATGGGAGCCTCCGTGACCCGTAACGTGCATGCCTGAAAAACCAGCAGCACATAGAGGAGCTGAGGCCTACACGGTCTCCAACAGCAGCCTGGCCTCCTGGAGCCACGGCGGACGATACGATACGGCAGAGCTCCAGGAAGCACTTCCCACGGGCAGGGAGGGACGCCGACTCCTGGAGGCACTAGAAGGTCAGGGCTGGGTGCTCGCATACCTGCAGCCCTCGCTCTTCAATGTGGGGAGGAAGGAGCGAGAGGGAGGGAGACTCAGCAGTCAGCAGATCCAAAGTTCTCAGCCCTCTCTCGACCGACGTGGCAGACTCAGGCGCTGGCCTCGTATTCCACCCCCCCAAGGCACGGCGAC